CATTTCACTTGGGCACATTAGTTTTTCTTGGTGGAAAGTTGTGACTTCTATTTATTTTGTCTTGAGCCAGAAATGACCATCATTCAATGGTATATTCAGTCACAAGTGTGAGATTGCTCTTGTTTATTAAATTGCTCTCCATCAGTCCTCCTTTCTCTCCTCATGGCCTGTAATGGAGAGAAAAATAGCTCAGATTTTTTTGTAGATGAATAAAGTCTTACACTTAAGCCATTTCTAATAGTAGTTATTTCGTAAACTTCATGTCCTTGTGCATCTGAGAGTGATGAAGCACTTTTGATCCATTTTCTATTTTAAACATTTAGTTCAGCACACCGTCACGTAGTTGGCATTATATAGCATAGCTTTGCCCTGGTGTCACACAAACAGCGAGTCTCTCTGGGTGTTTTCTCTGTGATAGAGGAAATGGGACAGCAATGCCAGACCTATTAGGGTGGCTGTGTGCGCACGGAGGGAATTTTCTCGCCGGTTGTTTTTGCGGGCGCTCATTGTTCAGGAGCAGTACGATTTCACGGTTAGCTCATTAATCATCCTGCACACAGCATTCATAACTGTCTGCTACTACGCTATTGAACATTTGTAAAAGTTTGAAAAGCAGTTACCAGTCCAAACCTGCCTGCGCCACTTTTTTCAGAAATCAGAGGGACATGTCTGTATCGTTAAGACAGGCTGGTGTTGATGATGATAATCTAAGTGCTTTTTAATTTTTCTCTACCTGATGGCAAAGGATTTTCCTTAATGTTTGGTAATATTCAGAAGTTTCCGATCAGGCTGTTTCGTGACTTATGATTCTTTGTACTTTGAGAACTTTTCTGTGATGTCACCTCAAAGTCCCTGTTTTGAATCAAGCTAAACAATGCTATTTCATTGTGTTCCTCTTTGTCTTTTCAGAACAAATCAAAGTGTCTGTTAATGATTTCATTATCAAGGCAGCTGCTGTTACACTCAAAGTAAGTATGGTTCAGAATCTACTTTTAATTAGATTTGATTCCTGTATATTCACTCCCTTCTTTTTAATATAACATTGCATACAGATATCTGTTCTTTCAGGGGTTTATTAAAACGTTTGGTTATCTAACATAACCTCAGTTCTTAGAATAATATG